GAGATTTGATTATTTATTAGACGAGGAAAAGCCAAGCTCATAGATGTGCTTGGTTATTAGAAGCCAAGGCCAGTCAAGAAGATGCTGCAACTATAGGCATCTGAGTTACCCAATCAAATTTCTCGCGACTGTGTTTGCGAGAAGATTGCTTCTTGTCTTTGCTGCTGCCACCACGAGAGGAAGAGTTGTCTTTGCTCTTCTGTCCTTTCTTTCCGGTCTTCCTGTGGTTGTCTTTGCTCTTGGAACTCTGCGGCTTCTTCTTGCTTCTTGTGTGTGAGGCTATGGAGGGAGGAGGATCATACACGTCATCCGCCCATGAAACCCTTGTCTTCCTCAGTGATAAGCCATGCTTCTCCCGACTGCCTTTTATGGCTGGGATGAGAACAACTGGTTCCTGTTGCAATACAACAAACAGGCGAGAAAGAATCAGGCATCTAAGCAGGGAATAAACAGCCTTGGCTTGAGATATATGAAAAGAATTTCATGATGGTTGAGATATGACTAACTCACACACCCCATTTCCAAATATATTGATTCTTCCGGAGTTTTAAGGGAAAATATTATGGAATTGCATGGCTCTAGCCAGTTCAGTAAATCTAACTAGATACAGGACATATCAATGACCTGAGTCTTAAGCAGAACAACTAACTACTGTGACCTTTCAAGCTCCAAGAGGATGGTATGAACTTGCTAATAGAACACCTTGGAAACTTATACTGATAACATGTATATGTCTTTGATCGTGCTTACACGCAAGATACAAGGCACAAATTCAATAGACCAGGCACAACCAAATCTAAGATAGATAATAATTATCTTAAGTAAACACAGGCTGACTTACAGTTGTAAGTTTCTCATCTTTGTCTTCATCATCTGAAGACTTTGGAGGTAAAGAACCTAAAATGGATTTGCCGAAATCCTTCTCATTAGCTGATTCTTCATTCACAGTTTGGTCTTTATAACCAGTTTCATCTCCATCAGATTCCTGAGAAGAATCTTCAGATCCAAAATGCGAGGTATGATGCTTCGAGCCATTAGAAGATTGTGTGGGACTCGAAGTCGAGATCTCAAAGTCTGCTTCTTTGAAATCCAATTTACCACAAACAGAGCTCATATCCAACTATACCACAAGATAGTCACACTAGTATAGTAACTGCAAAGAACAAGATCAAGATCAAAGCTTTCAATGAGTAAATGATCTTCAAAGTAGCAAAGAAACCCACAAATTGAAAATTTCATACCTCCAACTGATCGAGCAAAGATTCTGTCTCCGACAATTTCAATTCACAAACTTTTTTCTTGGTGAAATGTTAAACCGAGCTAGGAGGAGAATCTC